CCCCCCCTCACCTCCTCAACAAAAATTAATGGTCCTTAAGCAACAAGTGGAGTGATGAATATTTTTGTACCTGCAATAACTGTGATGCTGTTGCTCTTTCTTCTGGATTCTTAACCAGACATTTTGCTACGAAATCTCTGAATTCCTCTGACCATCTCTCTGGGTCTTTAAAGGTTGGTGGAGGTTTGGTTGGAATCATGAAAATTGCCTAAAATCAAACAAAGAAGCTGTAAAAATATAAACTAAACTGTGCCTCAAGGGCTCCACAATATCACTAGGCTGTCGGCATGATAGTCTTATACTACAACACAAGAATCCTTTGCAATCAATTTTTTATCCAGTGACATGTCATCAGGAGACCTTTCCTGAATTTGCTTGAGAAACATTGGTTCTAAATTGAGGTTGGAGTTGATAAAGTACATTAAAAGGATGAGCACATCAATTCCAACTTGGACTGCCATTGTTTCATGGCCCCATTCAAATTCAGGAAAAGTCTGTAGTCTCACAGAACTATTCTAATGAGAGAATACAAATTTGAATAAAAAAAGAAATTTTGCGGAGCATGCAAATAAGGTTATATCATACTTTTACAGGTGTATACACCGAATCGAAATATGGTGACCATGTGAATAACTATTCTTCAGGACTGACTATCGACTGACTAGCTTCTCATACATGTGAAGAGCTTTTATTTTTCCACATAAACAAGAGGCTAGTCAGTCCAGAAACATTATAGTTTTTCAAATTGGTGGCAATATTTCCATTTGGTGTATGGTAATATATAATAATAAGCCATGTAATATGAATAGTATCATACTCTCATAGGATGAATATCTGCATAAGGAGGTTTGCCTTCTGCCATTTCTATCGCCGTAATCCCTAATGACCATATGTCAGCCAGGCAGTCATAGCCAACTTCCTGGGGATGTGAAATACAAAAAAAAAATTATATCCCTWGTTGCCGTCATGCAGTCATATATATTATACAAAACTATGACAAATATCATGCATGTCATTTTGTGTGTAAAGGGGGGAGGGGAGGGGGAGCTGAACAATTTTCGTGGCACTGATGCTTCATAGGTCATTGCATGATAGCATCATGATTAYACTACATCTACCAGAATCCCTTGCACACTTTTTTGTTCAGTTAATTAATTAGCACCCATTGTCCTTCTATTATTGCAAGCAAAATAAAAATTTGAATAAGAAAATTTTTTTGCAGAGCATCATGGTAGTCATAGTAAAATGATGCTAACATCTGTACAAACAACCTATTGCACAGAATGATACAGATCAACTTGGTCGACTTGGTTGCCAACCAAAGACCCATGTCTGATTGACCAAACCAGTTAATACAGCCCAGGTTACCTGTCACATGTAAGTATACGATAAACGGTCGYACCTGTATAACTTCAGGGGCCATCCAGAATGGTGTTCCTATAACTGTATTTCGTTTAGCCATTGTATCCTGGGAAAAAAATTAGCTTGATGACTGTAATTATTAGCTATAATAATTAGTTTGAAATTAGCTTGATAATTGTAATCCTTAATTACAGACTCATTTGTAAAGGTTTAGCCTCATTTAAAAACAAGCTACTTGCAACAGTAGACTGTAAAGAATGTACRATTTGAGCAAGACTAATGTTTTGGTCTCAAATCTCAGTAACTTCAGTGAATCTGTAAATAGCTAACTTATAAGAGGGACTAAATTTTATGAATGAGGCTGTGGTCATCAAATATGGCAGCAGCCATTGAAAGAGAAAGAGGAATTTTCCAATTGAATTCAATGGATGCATGAGGGGGCACTCTGTGAAAATGCTGTCAGATGATTTTGTTTGGTCAAATGAAACAAATACAAGATAAGATATTTACAGTGAGTTGTCCTGCTACTCCGAAGTCTGCCAGCTTTGCATGACCTTCAGTGTTAAGTAAAATATTTCCTGCTTTGATGTCTCTATAAGATCAAAAGAAACCAATTATCAGTACTAACTTATAAGATTAAACATGCATTTAAAACAACAAAGTACTTTCATGAGAGTAGTTAACTTCTTTGCTAGATTCAGCTGGGATATTTGTAACAATTCTTTTCCAAAAATTGATACCTCCCTCCCATTTCTTTACCACTTCAATTAAATCCCTGTCTGGTTGGCTTGATCTGGCATTTGTCAGTGCAGGAGGTTTAAGCCCTGGCCAGACCTATAATCAGGGTTTTGAAATATTTGAGTAAAATTGTTGCCTTTGCTCTAAAAATATTTACAAATGGTTATTCTTTCAATTAGCCCTAGTTTTTTCACTGGCCATCTCATCTAAAGATGTTAATACCACTGGTTTCATTGAGACAAAAGGTATACAGGGGAATTTGCAGTAGATACCATTAATCAAATATATCACTAAAGTAATGATAAAAAAGGTAAATTATACACCGTGAAAATGTGAAAAAACTTACTGACGTTTTGGACGCTAGTCCTTCGTCGGAGTAAAAGACTAAAGTACTAAAGTACATTAAATGTGCATGGGAAATGTACTGTACTCTAAGGATGTATCAGATGCAACCCTCCCTAAATAATGTTGATTAAAATCATTATTACTTATTATTACAAGCAGATAGTTCACTTGTTATTTTTACCTATGTATTTTTCTTCTAAGGTGTAAATATTCTAATCCTTTCAGTGTAAACTTCAAAACACATTTGATTTCTTCTTCTGTCAACTGAAAGAAAATAATTACAATATGTCTTGTCAATATTGTTTCATATTTTATGTTTAACAATTTATTATTCACATACATTGCTGTTAGCAAAAATCATGAAACTCCTAAATTCCAATTTGATCATTGAACAAGGGCCATAGGTTTGTTAGCCACTGGCCTGAGGATGTTATTTTTTGGCACAAATATATTGCCATCCCACTGCTATTGCTGTAAGTTCAATCCTGAAAAGACTGTCTGATAGGTATTTTTTTCTGTACAATCTTTAAGGGTGTTTCTCTAGGTTTTCCAGTTCTCCTTGTTCTGCGAAATCAACACCTCAATCTCYAATTTCTCGCTGAAATGAAAGGCCAAGGCTAGAGCTATCCTTATAAAAAGAAGGTTATTGCTTTTCTATATTACATAGTAGCAATGAATAAGAATGTACATACTGTTTTTATTCTTAACTTCATCAGGTCTGACACTGAACCAGCACCACAGTATTCCATGACAATCTGTGATGAAAAAAAAAGTAAAAAATAGGTTTAAAAAAGAGATTAATAGCAGCAGCAAAATACTTTATATTATTGTTTCAGTGCCATTGGTTTTAAGATCTAGGGAGTAGTTTATAAGTATTGATATAAATCCCAAAGATATTAATAATACTGGGTTTGCAGGGATACTTTTGGTGTGATAGTGTTTCGAATGCCTACAAGCGGGATCAATACTTTGTCTATAAATGAAACACACACTTATATGCATGGAGCTTTGGCTTGGCTCTGTGCATTATTCATATGTGGGAACCTGAAAGCCTCCTGGCCTGTCCTGTAGCATTGTTACAATTTCTCCATCTTCATTCAAAACATGCCCCAAAATATACATACAAAGTTGTTACTATACTTTACTTACCCATAAGTCAGTGTTCTTGAAGTAACTTCCATAATACTTGACAACATATGGGCTAGAAAGAAAAATAATGGAACATTGGGCTTCCTGTGGTTTCTAAACACACAGGGATCCCATTTCAAACCACTTCACTTTTACAGCAAAAAGGAGTGGTGTAGAAACTATACAAAAACATGTCATTGTGATATAGACTTAAAAGATTAGTATGTAAATGAAATACAAAACAAAATAAAGTTTGTTGGAGTTCTGGAAGTAATCCTGAATTGATTTAATGACCTGATGGTGAAGAAAGTTCTAGAAGCCTTTCAGAAACTTAACAATATAAACCCAATACCATCAAGGATTGAAAGAAATTCCTCATTCAATAGTTGTAGTCAGTGTTAAAGGTAAAATGAGACTATTTACAGTGACCAAACAAGGCAAGACAAGGACAGGCTGCAAAAACCTGGTGAATTGAATATGAAAATCGATGCACATTTTGAGCATATTTTTGTATTCAATACTCTAGCAACTGTGACCTACTAGGCTTTTTTTCTTGAAATAGAGACAAAAGGGAACTATCCAGCAAAAACATTAAACAAATCATAGGCACTCACGAAAATTAACCTTTAAAAACGAATAAATCTCTATACAGATTGTAAAGTATACGAGAATTTATTCCAAAATAGACAGTTCTTGCAAGATATTTTTGATGCAAGATATGATAAGTCTTTCAGAAGTAAGGTCGTAAATCGTATCATCTAATGGTATAAATATTAACCTTAGAGAGGTGCTATCTATGTGTGTGGGAGGTAAATAATTATGGTAGACACGGTCACGACGTATTATATAAATCAAAACAATACATTCACTTCAAAAGGCTAAAAATATTCTTGAAGCCATACCTCTACAGCTCAACAGCTGTAAAGATCGTGTAAAAACCCAAAGGCAATAAATTTGTCTTTGTTTTATAAAGAAAATTTAAGACCAGATGGCAACTTTCCTTCTTAAACTTCCAACTTACTGAATTAATATATAGCATCGAACTACCTTGATTATAATTATATTATTAATGTATGAATATATTATACATGCGTAGGTATACTTTAGATAGAATGGATTCTCATGTTTGATGATAAAAATGATGGGATTCTTAAATTTTGCAATATTTTTTATACATTTTTACCTGTCACATTGCTGCATCATACTAATTTCTTTAATAATTTCCTGCAGATCTGTATCAACCGGCACTTGTTTGATGGCCAAAACTTGACCGCTTTCCTTGTGCATAGCTTTGAACACTGAGCCATACGACCTAAAAAGACCGCAGAAAAACGCTATAGTCATATCAAGATGGCTTAACTAGTGAAAAAGGATTAATACAAAGGGTTAAAAAGAAAGCGAAATTACGAAATTGATTTTTCTAAACCATTTTATAGTGGCTTTCTATTTTCACACCCTGGATGTACAAAATACTTACCCTTCTCCAAGCTTCTCTAAAACATCGAAAACCTCTTCTGGTGGCCTCGTAAGACTCTCTTCGCTGAGCTTACGGAGTTCATTGCTAAAATGAGATAGTTTAAGACAGTTAATTAATAAAGAAGAGTGACTTCTTCCACAACAAAACACACACGAGTTTCTCAAAAAGGCTAAAACACTCATGAGCTGAATTCGCACGAGGAAAACAAATCGTTCCGGTCTTAAAATCTCATTTATGAAAGCGCCTACCCTTTCGAGGACATTCTGAAGGCTAGACGGTTTACTCTAAGTAGTTTGGATCAAATCATGGCCTCGTAAATAGGAAAATTCCATCAATAAAGCTCGAGTTAATTTGCTCCTTCGTAATTTCGAAAGCCACCAGCAACAAATGGATGACATTATGAGCCCACTGTGTGTGCACCAGCGGGGAATACTATGAGTAAATGAGGAGAGGGGAGGGACAGTCATGCATTGTCATGTCAGTTATGTGAGGGGAGCTCATGCATCTTTTTGAGAAAATTATATGGTTTATTTAAAGAAAGAAAAAAACAAGAAAAAACAAAACGTACAATAAAAATTTTGGTGACATAAAAGAGACATTACTCTATTCCAGAGAATTTCTCAAAAATCCTAACGTTTCTTTTCCACGGCAGTCCCGCATTTGAGCTAGCGTGCCATATCCTGGATATTTTTTCTTTTCAGATCTTCTAACAGAAACATCCAGCTTGATTAGCCCAGGGCTGCGCTAGTTTAAATATGTCGTCAAAAAACACTGATCTGCGAGACGACTAAAAGATTCACCTTTTATCGGCTACTGAATGACAAATACCAGTTTTCGCGTCATTGGAATTAATTTTTCGTAACTAGTCGCGTAAAGGGGTATAGGGTTACCTATACAGAATACGTATGGTCGCCCAGCCCATAAGGGTCACACAGCAAGTTATATTAGACAAGTCGCTCAGTGCCCATGAAATAAGAAACGAGTTACTGCAAGTTAGACGAGTTGCTGCAAATAAGAAACGAGTTGCTGCATGTTAGACGAGTTGCTGCAAATAAGAAACGAGTTGCTGCA